GAGATGGAAGCTTCCATGGGAGAGTCAGATGGGCCCTTCTGGGTGACAGACCTGGTCTTACTTTCTAAATTTGTCAGGAAGCCAGAGTGTGACATGGGTCAGATCTAAATTTTGCAGTAATTGTCTTTGCTGCAATGTGGAGAATATGCTGCAAGGGAAAGGGAGTATATGTTGGGGGACCAGTTGGGACATTTGTGGAGGCCATCTGAGAGAAGGGGTTTGGGACAGGATGCCAGCAGTGGAGGAGAGGCATGTTTATCTTGGAACCTGGCTTCATCTGGCAGTGAGAAAACCAAACTCTATGTTTGCTCTTCCTGGGCTGAGTGTCCTGTAGGAGGCAGGCTGAAATCATATATTTGGGAAACCTCAGGAGTAGGGGTGATAGATGTGATCAATAAGAATTCAAGCTGTAAGTTGGTTAAAAGATGGGGATGAAGTTGAGATGGAGCTCAAAGGGCTTTTGAATATTAAGCTTGTCAAACATAGTTTACACCAAACACAAACAGTGTTGGTTGGGTGTGGCTTTGTCCGGCAGCTCTTTTCATTGCAAGCCATGCTTTATGAGCATAATGATCATAAAACGCCTATGTTTCTTGGGACTTAAAAAAAAATATGTTTTTAGCATACAGCAAGTTGCCTTGAGCAGCTCGAAATGAAAGCCTTTTCAAGCAAAGGGTATTGAGACCTCTGCTCAGCTAATGAGGAAGTTGAACCTGCCAGTCGGAATTGGTCTCAAGTTTAGTGTCAGTGGTTCCTGGAACTAACCCGGGGCCATGGGGTCCCATCGACCTTCACATATTCCACCCACCACTACATTACTCCAGCACTGACTTCCCCAAGTGATTGCTATGAGCCCTTGGACGACTCATCGAGCCTTACTTGACTGCCTCATGCTGAAAATGGCACAGACCCAGCTCTTGCAGTGTCTTTCACCTCAAGGATATTTATTCCATGCAACAAGGATCTTTCCTTTCTCAGAGTGCTATGCTGTGTTTAATATACATTCATATTCTTCTGGATCACTGAGGACTTTGTCACTTAACAATTCATTGTCATGGTTTCTGGTCTTAATAAAAGCAAGAAGAGTGTACTCCTTATCAACACCATTTTTTGACTGAGAAAATCTTAAGCTTGCTTCTGAAAACCTACCGCAGCCCCATGAAGGCATCTTGCATCTTCTCTCCCAATTTACTCCAATCAGCAAATGAACGAATATGCAATTAGTGAGCACCTGTTGTGTACCCTACATTGTGCTCAGGGCTTTTACTCACTTCATTGTCAGAGACCCTTGTAAGACAAAGGTTATGTTCAGTATTATAAGGAGTCAGAGGCTCCCAGAGGTTAACTTTCCCAAAGTCACCTAGCAAAAAGAAAGTGGCAGAATAATATCAAACCCAAGACTTCTGATTCTATGCTCATGACTCTTCCCACCTTAAATTGGTAAACAAGCTGGCTTTAGATGGCTCATGGACAATGCAGGGGAAAAAAAAAAGGAATTGTATGACGGGAAAGTTGTTTTCTTTTCAGTTCTCTCTCAAACGTCCTGATTAGTCAAGTAGAAAATGTGTTTGGTGTTAAAGTGGCTTTAGCATGTGTTGAATATTTGCTAATTTCCCTTTTTAACAAAGAGAGCTGGTCTCAGGCTTAACACCTTCAACACTCAAAAATCTTAGCAAGAGTTTAATAAAATTATTTTGATTTCATCTTCTATTTTTGGAGCATCATATTGGTTTCCTTATGGTGGCAATATAGAGTTGCCTTTTAGGGAACTTTTAAGGAAGAAAGAAAATTATTAAAAAAATTTTTTTAAGTTGAATAAATTATAGTTCAGGTGTATGGGCACAATAATGATAAAAAATATGAAAGTGTATCCATCTAAATGAAGCTAGGAACTATTCCATTGATTTAAACTGCCTCCTTCACTCTCAGGACATGTGGGGCTTCATGTGATCATTGCGGCACTAAATTGTAAATGTGTTCTTTGTTTATCTGTTTTCCTGGAACACAATTAGAAGCAATTATAATGAAAACTATCCCTGTCCCTAGGACCGTTGAGGCATCCTTCTTAAGTTTAAATTTATAACCCAAATCAACCCAAGCTAGTAATGGAGTCTTAAAACCTAGGAAAAATACGTAAGTTTATTGCAAAAGATAATATCCCATTTAAAACAGTTTAGAAATTTACAAAACCTTACATTGGTACACAGTCTTGAAGAAGGTGCTCTCTATAGATGAGCTGGCATGAAGTTCCAAGTATAGTGAGTACCTATTTTTTTAACTACAGAGAAAGCAGCTACACAAACTCCTGCAACTTAAGTTGATATGTGAGTCTCTTTCCCTTCAATTTTACAAAAGTAATTTTTGCCAAATTAATATCTCTCCATAAAACCATATAACCTCAAGTACAGCATTTCTGTAGAATAGCATGGTAGATGTTACATCGTATTTTACAAAGAAGTGATTTCACATGGTAGACGAGTATAGATAGAGGTTTGACATATGTATCTGTATGTTCTTCAAAACATGGAGATGACCATTTTTGTGTAGCAGGAAGGTGTTTACTGAATCCATTTCCCTCCTAACTATTTTAAATGTTCAGTATTCAGAAGAGACCTTTCTGGTTTCAGGCTGGTGGCCTGAGCAGTGCTATGTTGTGCTTTGGTATAGAATTATATAGCCTCATTTTTTGTTGTTGTTGTTTGTTTGTTTGTTTTTTCTCAAAATGTCAAAATTTTCCAACCCCAGTTTCATTTAATTCAGTTGAGGCTTTATCTCAGGCCCCTCACTCAATACAAGTGTATGACAAGGTGAGATTCATCATTTAAGAGTTGGATTATCCTTTTGTGTGAGTTACCTCAGACACCTCTTCATCGTTCCAGGGTAACTTTGGCAAATGATCCAACTGAGCTCTGGGTCGTTCTGCTCATTTTGATGTTGGAATGTGCACAGAGCTTACAAAGTAGGTAGAGTAGGTGTTTACATCTCCGTTCAAGAATGGACAACCAGGCCCTGAAAATTTAAGCAATTTGCCGAAGGTTAGTGTTATAGACTGTTCTGTTGCCTGGGTCTCTTAATTCCGGGAACAGGATTATTTTCATCCCAGCATGCTACCCAAGAATATAAATTAATTTGAAAATCGGTGTAAGCAAAGCAAATTAAGATGGAAGCTCTACTATGAGATAAAATTACATAAGACATCCCAAATGATTTTGTCTTATTGGATTATCTTCTGTGCTGTTCTTTTCCACTGTTGGGGCCAACTGAGAGTTGATTGTGTGGATACAGAAAGATCTGTGGCTTTTAGCCAGTGGTAGCATATCTTATTGAAATGTGACTTCTTAAGTATGACAAGTGTATTTATCTTAATTCCAACTTAGTGTTATGTATTCCGGTCTCATTTTGTGGGTTTAAACATTACACTAGAAACAGAATGAGAACATCTTGAATGACATTCCAAGACTTAAATAGTGCAAGCTGAGACTCTTTGCCAAATTTCCCTCTCACTCTCACCGAAATAGCTTTGTGCACTGCAGCACGGTGACAGGGAAAGGTGAATCTGTCGGAGTGGTTTGTTCAGTGAGTCTCAATTTGCAGTGGGGTACGTACATCCCACGTGCACTCCACAAAGACTCTAACTCAGAGACCTGATCTTCAGCAAAGGGGATTATAAAATGCCTTCTTCATTGAGTGCCTGTGGAGCTTTAGGATCCCTTTTCTAAGCAGCATCAATGCAACCACAGGCTGCTAGAGAATTTAATGCAAAGGAATGCGAGCCTTTCCAACCTACCCCTTATCCCCAAGAGTATGTAGCAATTAATTACATTATAGTAGTTTGTTCAGCCATGCAAGTTTGACTGGACCCACATGTATGAGGATCTTGCCAAAAGAATGAGTCAGACTTCAAAAGAATTCAGACTTTGGGAAGGAAAGGTCTTTAATACTAAAATGGAAGAAAATATATCCTCATCCCCAGTCCTGCTGCTTCTTCAATCAGGTGACCATCACCTGGTCATCACAAAGGGAAATTGTGTAGATTAATATACTTTGGAACCTATCTACAAGGCTGTTGCTGGGATGAATGAACAAGAACCAGTGTTGTGTTTTTATCTTAGTCTGATGTTACTGGTGAGATGAAATGGACAGACAGGCTGCTGGATCTCATGGCCTTAAATATTGCAGGGACAGTAACTGTGGAACCTTCAAGTTCAAGCCCAAACCAGGTCCCACCCATTTGCCAACAGGTCTGAGGCCCCAAGCTGAGAATCACAATGGTTTAAGGCAGGCCCTGCAGCGGCTATAATTACAGGATGGCCATACCAACAAGTTCCTTATATCCTGCCATAACTTTACTCTGCCACAGACTGTAAAGCTCACATAGCATGAGATGACATGGGATCTGGGTCCCATGGGATCTAAGGGCTAACTAAAAATGAAAATTACCCAATCCATGAAGTGATCTTGCATTTTTATGCCCTACCCGCTTCTGATGTACTTACGTATGCCAATATCTTAGAAAACTGCCAGTTTATGTTTCTAGTTGCGCCCCCCCCGCCCCCACCCCCCACCCTGGGGTATCTGATTATAACATTCCTCTATTTTCCTGTTGTGTGCAACATTTTTTTTTTTCTTTTGGGATGATGAACTCAGGATGGGAAGGGAGTGTTTAGCATCATGGAGGTTTTAGAAGATGTGATGGGGTTTTTGCCCATGGTAGGAACCTAGGCTATCAAACAAGGATGTGAACTGGTCATGTGTGACAGGGAACTAGGCAAGTGGTCACTCTAGTATCCATAAAGTCCTCAGCAAGTGTCACTCATTTAGGTGAGATTAGTGGTCAGGTGTCCAGCAGCAGCTAAACCAGCTCCGAGTCTTTCCCATTTTGCAAGTTGAATGGCTCACCACCTGGGGCCTGTGCTAAGAAGTAGAGAAGGCCTGAGGGCAGTGGTTTCCCCACCTTGGGGAGGTACTTGGGGAGGGCAAAGGGAATGGACCCAACAAGCTCAGATCCACCAGAAGCATTTCTTCTTCACTTTCTTGGTTTTCCTCCTTAAGTCCTGTTTCTCAGGGACTGGAGGCTCTGCTGGGGACTTTGGTGGGGGAGATGCCTCCTCAACTGGTTCTGCTTCCTCCAGACTCTGTAGAACTTCATGGAACCTGCCTTCCTGCTGTCGAAAATCATATTCTACACTGAAAAACACAGAGGAGAAGGAAGGAAAGTAAATTCAAATCAGCACTTATTGATTTAGAATCACCAAGTATCTAACTGACATGGAAGAGCATAGGCTTTGAGATCAAGTTCCAGATGCTTAGGTACCTGCTGACCTTGGGAAAACTGTGCCACCCCTTTCAACCACTAGTTCCTCACTGGTTGAATTGGAACCTGTAATGCCTTCCTTTTGAGGATGAGACATGTAATATGACAGCCTGATAGTAGGTGTTCAGTAAATATTGCTACAATCTCTCTCACATTTATTTAATGCCCCTAATTGCTAATTATTTTTACACATTTTGCATGAAAGCTGCCTCATTCTAAAAGATTTAAATAATACAGGGGAAGATACAAAAGAACTAACCACTCAGTTTCCTCATCAGTAAAATGGACACAATAATAGCAACTATTCCAAAAGCTTTCTTTGCAATTAATATGTATATTAACCAAGTGAAAGAATACAAAGGAAGTGTTTAGGGCAATACCTGGCATGTAGTAAGGCTTCCATATTTGGTAGCTTCTATGAGTCACCATTGCGACTATTGCCACTAATACATTATGTCTTGCTCTTTGCCTTGCTTCTCAACTTAACAATGTGTCTCAGAGGGCTTTCCATATACATTCACCATGTAATATTCCTCAATGTAGACATATTTAAATACTTCACTGGGCATTTCCTAATCTTCGTTTTTTTCTTTGCTATTTTATTTGTATGTTTTGGAGTTGTTAATGTACAGACTCCATTGTATTATTTGTACACAGGTCTGTGAGCTAAACATGATGTATTTGGGGATCAGGGTTCCCAGAGGCTGAGAGAGTCAGATACCTGGGAGTACAGAAGTTCTGGCTTGCTCATAGTGGGTACTCACACATCCTGTGTCCTTGAGGGCTTGAGAATCAGGCCTGCAGGTGTGTTAGGGTTTGTCAGCTTGACTCATAACTCGGGCTCAGTTTTCCCAGAAGCTGGAGAGGCAGGCCAGAAAGAATGAATCCTGCAGATGTCCCTGAAGGCTGTGCAGGGGCTCCCTCTGCCCTTAATTGTCCACTTTCCTCCCTCGGAGATTTACTTATGGAGGAGTTTCCAGTGCTGAGATCCTTATAAGAAGGCTCTTAAGCTTTTAGCTGTATTTTTACCTGGTTTCATTCTAGAGGCCTCAGATGGCCCAAGATGAGTAACCAGTGTAGGAGTGTGGAAAGGAGAGGAAATGCAGAGTCATGGAAACAGTACATTCTCCTTGCTTAGCATGAAGGGAAATCAAATGTTTCATATTGAAGACGAAAGACCCCACATTGGTTTGCCATGTGACATGACTGTCCAAAGCCTTTCTAACCAGCAAGGGATGAAAAAGAGCTGTCATTAAAAGGATACTTGGTCCTGGTCTGCTATCCCATATCACCTTCTAGAGACCCAGGATCAGACTAAGCGCTGCTGGAAAGGCAAATCATGGTTGTCATGCATGACTAATGAAGTCCCCAAATGGGCATTCTGAGATGGAAGAAGCTAAAGAGTCAGAAGAGCCAGATGGCATGTTTTGTAGCCAGACGGATGTGGTGTCAGTGCTTAGGGAGTATTGGGAAGGTGTTTCTGATTATTTCATTTCTGTAGTTTTGATAAGCTTCACCCAGATTTTCTTCTCCTTGGTGTCATCCTTTCTTTTTCCATTTCTCCCTGGTGCCCTCTATAAAGATATACTCCTGGATGGATGACCTACATAATGGCTGTATTTTCCAAAGCAAAGCTCCACAACTGATTAGCTGTGAGATCTTGGGGAAGTCATTTCTTATTTTTAAGCAGTAGTATCTTCATCTGCAAAATAAACATGATATCTACTCATAGGATTTCAGTGAAATTTAAGAAGTTCAGCTCAGAGCAAGGCATCAAGTTTTCAGTCAGTCATTCAACAAATATTTATTATCACCCATGTGCCAGGCCCTATGCTAGGTGCTAGGGAAGGAATGGTAGATAAACATTATTTATGGCCTCCTCATGCTGGTAGTCCAGTGGCTCTGTGTCCTCAGTAAATGATAGCCAACGTCAAGAGCTATTAGGGGCATTTTAGTCACAGCCCAGGATTCGCTAGGTCAGTGAGCAGAGGCATCCACAGACTCAAACAGTGAGGCTTTCCTTCCAGGATGCAGTATCAGCATTGTACTCCTCTTTGTCTCTGGGCCTGGGGTGAATTTTTGTCTGCACTACCTGCACCTCACTCTCCCTTGTGGAAACTTAAAGAGATGGATTTGGGGGCTGGGGAAGAGTTGTTCAGCAACCTCTGCACTGCTTCAAGCAGTATGTTACCAAGCAGTATGTTGCAAACTCTGATTCTTACCCCCTCTAGCACTAGTTCACAGGTAGGGAACATCCATATTCACAGTTCTCCTACCTCCTGAAATATCCCTATCCTTCCCCCAAAGGCACAAAAATGACCTTAATCTTAGAGCACCAGATAGAGCCCAAGAAAGTGGGTACTCCCTGCTCGTTCCAGGAATTTCTTGTGCTTTCTGGTATAGGATATTTCACCCGTCTATCCAGTCAGCCAGCCAGCCAACCATCCATGTATCCAACCACTCATCCATGTGTCTATCCATCCATTCATACATCCGCCCATCCATCCATCCTACCTACCATCCATTCATCCAGCCAGCCAACCAGCTGGTCAGACAGATGTGGTTACTGCTTTAGTGGATCTTACATCCCAGTATTTGAGGTATGTGATTAAACTAACAGTTGCTTTACAAATATGCTTTGCATTTATCCCCACTACCCCTACTTGCCAACTGTTCATCCATATATGTCTACCAAATGATACGAACATACACATAAACTGGCCTCCTTCTTCTCATCTGTAACATTTCTCTGACTTCATAATTCAAACAAACAAATGACAACAACAGCAAATCACCTGAGTTTGCCAAGACTCACAGTAGTGTCCTAATATCAGTTAGAAAACATAATGCTCTGGGTGATTCCAGGATGTGTATAGAATTGGCATGCCTAGGGAGAGAAGAGCCAGGAGACAATGTAAACTCAGTCTCCTCATTACAATTTAAAGTTCAGCACAATATAGAGAAGAGAACAGGGGTGCTTGAGTAGAACACTCCTGGGTTTGAACTAAGGCTATACCACTTACTGTCTGGGTGACCTTGGGCAAGTTGCTACTCTTTCTGAGACTCAGTTGAAAGAGGAGATTATAAAGCTACCTCACTGGGTAGTTGTGCAGATGGGACAAAATAACAGATGAAATGTCCTCATGTAGGATATGGTCTCTGCCTACTCCACTCTTCAATAAGTCTTTTGTCTCCCTATCTTAGGGACTGAATGCCTTACCTCCTCACTCACACCTTTAGCTCTTCAGTAATTGTACACCTTGTCGGCAACATCATTCTTCACTCCTCCCCTCGGTATACATTCGGGGAAGAACACACTATGTTTCTATGGAAACACCACAGGGTTCCATTATAATCATTAGGGCTCCCCACCCCGCTCCTGCAACTGTCCCCACTGGTCTTGACAATTTAAAGGGGATTGAAAGTGACTTTCTTTTTCAAGGCCAGGGAAATAGCATAGTGTAGGGAAGCATGTATGCTTTGGAAAGAAATTGATTAATGTGTTTTCGGCCAAAGCAATTTATTAACATAAAGGAAAATTGTCACTTTTCTTCTTATCCATCCGTTTGACAAACTACTGTTTAGTTTGGAGGGGAGGAGAGGGAGTATATTTTGTTTTGGTAGCAGCTGCCTTATAAATAGGCAGGGGCAGTGCCCTCTCTCATCTGTTTTCATTTTGAGGCTGAGTAGAGAAGAGGAGATATCCCTTAACTTCCTACTTATCCAATCCACACCAAGTTGGCAACCTCTTGAAAAGGGAAATAAGCTGCCTACTTGGTAAGAATTCAAGTAAAGTCTTATCAGAGGGTTCTTTGTAGGTTGGTATTGACATAGAACACCAGTAACTTCTCCAGCCTCACCTCTGCTTCTTTCTTCCTCTTAATTTCCCTACCCTGCCACTCTTATCATCTTCTGCATTCATATTCCATATGGAGGAGAGAAATGTTGAGTGCCTAGCTTGTGTAGAGCTCTGGCTCACAGTTTGGGCCAAACAGTGGTCAAGAAATTGTTACAGTATGGGATTCAGACCTGGAGCCATTGAGATAGTCCAGAGTATTCAAGGTCTGTGAGGTTAGTCCTTTGAAGATGTGTGGAATACCTAACACCTGGTTCAGGGGTGGGGGCACTGAGGAGTTCACTGGGGAGCCTTAAAGCCCTTCCTACCCAAGATGACTGTGCATGGCACCACATTGGATTTAGAAAGTGAGCTGTGTGTAAAGTAGAAATGGAAGAGAGCTTTCAGGTTTTCCTTTTGAGGGCACCTCACTAATCTAACTGACAGATCAATGCTTCAGCTATCATGCTAGGTGAAAAGTAGAAGGATGTTTTTCTAGGTAATTGGAAGCAGCGAGAAGCCTAAGTCATGGCTTGTCTAGAAGAAGAAATAGTGAGAAGCAAAAAGAGGATAAATACATAAATATATAAGCAAACAATAGAGCTGGTTTCTGGATGTAGTATCTTGGCTAGGCAAACTAAAGTTGGGTGAGCCAAAAGGAGATAAAAGTTTATATAGAAACAAACAGTGGAAACCTCTTACTTTTATATAGCACTTTCAAACCGCAAACATTTCAAATCTGTGTTTTTATTTTACCCTTACAATAGCCCAGAAATATGGGAAGATTGTTATCCCCATTTAACTGACAAAAGGGGTTGGCAAAGGGAAGTCATACCACGAATTATGATCAGAATATAAGCCTGGTCTCCTGATTCCTAGTCCTTTGTTTTTCCTAAAGAGGGGTCAAATGTTTTAGCCTGGGGCTTGTCTATTACTGGGGGTCTTATTCTAAGAAGAAGAAAGAATGAGAGGACCTGTACCGCATTAGGTGAGGACATGTAGTATTTAAGTGAATAATAATAACAATAATGAGAAGTA